GTAGATAAAGCACATCTCAAAAACTTTACCACACAGTTTACATAATTGTATATAGCATTTTATGATTGCAAAAGGCTTGACACTGCATGAACTCTTTGGGGAAGAAAAAAATAGAGAAAAAGGGTTAATTGCACATTCATGCAAGTAAGGTTAGGCTTCCAACAAATATTGAACCAACTTACTCTCTAAAGAGAGTTCCAACACAGGGGACAGCATGCAAAATGAAACAAAAACAAAAACAAAACAAAACAAGAACAAAAAAGGGAAAAAGATAAAAACACACAAATTAGTGGCCATCAATACAAAGTTCCTGTATGGAATATAAAACAAAATAAAACAAAAAAGGTATTTCAAAACTTTTATGAGAACTTTAGTAATTTTCTTGGAATATCTAATGTATTTTAAAAGTAACCACTTGGCATTTCCTTCAAATCATTCTTCCATTTCCTCCTCTAAACAATATTACTCTCTTCTAAACAATTCCCTACATCCAGCTATCATGTATCATGTTAAAGTAAACTTAAAAAAAAACAAAAAACAAAGAAAAACACAAAACCGAAAGTGATGACAGGATAACTCCTACAGACACTTGAAAAGAATCTAAGATTAGATTTGTATAACCATATGTGTGTGATAAAAAAATTCACAGTTCATGAACTCTTACACTTAAAAGATGCTCCTGATAATATCTTGCTAACTAGTAATAGTTTTGCAACACCAAAAAGCAGGCAAGGTTTCAGTGACTGGAACAGGTGTACCACATGTGCTGTAACACAGGCCATGTTTTTGAAATCAAAGCAACATTATTTTATGTCAGAATACCCAGTAAACAAAACAATCAACCAGAACAATTCAATGTGACATTACTAAAGTCTTAATAAAAAGATAAAATGCTCTTCTGGCACATATTACTAAATTTTGAAATTTTTTTATTACCCTTCCCTGGCTTCCCCACTACAAAAAAATCTCCAGGGTAGTTCTGCTATATGTAGAGCTGCAACATTAATTAACACAAGAACAAGTTAAATTAAACCAACTCGCTATTCACAATTTTGCCATTACTTCGTTTAGAAACCAATAATATTTTAAACATTTAATTTTCTTTCCTCTCCTCTGACTTAGCTATTCTTCTTTTGGAATCTTTTCCTCAGTTTCTCTTTAACTCCTTAGTCTTTCCTCTGGATTTCTGCAGTGCTGAGTTGCTGTGTGCAATGTAAGTTTCTTCCAAAATACATGGTGTCACAGACAGCAGCAAGACACTTTTTCCAGTGAGAAAAATAAGGAGGACAGATGAACAGTAAGTTAATCTGTCAAGGCTTTTTATCACTCTGAATTTAATTTTCCATTGCAGCAATAAGGAAGACTTCAAAATATGTAAAATGTATTGCATAATCAAAGCCATTTTTCAAAATTCTGCTGGGAAAAGCCAATAGTTCTGAAATAACTACTTTGCTTTGAATTCTTCTGGATTATCATTTTATCAATTCTGAAATATGGACACAAACTGGGACAGGTTATACTCAGGATAAAAGATAAGGTTTCTTTCAAACAAGCCTCTAATTCAAAGAAAAGATGAAGTTACATGGTTTTTACACGATACCATTATAACTTTATTCAGCTCCTTATTTACCTGCAATCTTTTTGCTATGGGAAATAACTGCATATATGAAACTGTCCTAGCAATGCACCTCCCACAAAAATTGTGAAAATACTATCAAGCAAAGTAACACAGTTAAATACATTTTAATGGTCTTAGAAAACAGAAGTATTATTCTCCTTGTTATATCATCCATACTAGGTCTTTACGTAGGTAAAAGTGAATAAAACATAGCATTTTTTTTATACTGAGGTATAGTCTCCACCTTACTTATTGAATACTAACAATGATGTAAAAATTACTCAACAGTCTCAACTGCCAGCTCTGTCTATGAAATTCGAAGAAGACATCATAAAGCTAAGATAATACAAAATACCCTGGAAAATAAATAAGTACACATTTGGTACAGTTCATCAGACTCATCATGTACAATTTAGTCACACCATTTTATGATTTAAATTACTGCACCAGAGCCTTTCATTTCCAACTGAGAGAAAACCACTACTCACGTTGAAGTGGCCTCTGTAAACAACACGACTTCTTAAAAATACTTACAATTTTTAAGCACAAACTGTTGAACTACTTCAGTGCATTTTAGATTAAACTAACCTTTACTTTATTTCAATTATCCTGTGAAAAAGGTGGAAAATTATCTTGTTCAAATTGCAAATTAAATGGATTAAAATCCGATACCATTAACTGCTTATAGAACATAGTTTATGAAACTTTTACATGTGTAAGTACCACTGCTGTATTTTACTACAACTGACCTTCAATATATGCTTTCAAACATTTACTGAGAGCAAGAAAAACCTAAACATACCTTACTGTGAGGATCAGCAAACATTCTTGTGAAGATTTCACACAACCTTTTCAACTCAACACGACTGTCAAAGTGACAACAATATATTAGTCAACTCCTCTGTTAGTATTACCAGAACACTAATGCACAGCAATCAGTGAATCAAATAATCTAGTAAATGAAGTAGGAAAAAGCATTTTGTTTAAGATACAGACAAAAATAGTTTTGTGTGTTGAGACTTTCAACCTGGAATTATCTCTTTAAACTAATTCATATATTAAACCATTCCCAATTATTTTAACAGAGCAGATAATGAAAAAGGTACTCTCAGTAGCTAGTAGCAAACAGCTTCTTCTGAATAAATACAATAATAATAATAATAATAATAATAATAATAATAATAATAATAGATATAAAGAAAAAGAAATGCCTTCTATCAATACTAGCATTTTAGGAAGTTTTTGTATTGCAAGAATTCTCTTGATTTTAAATTCCATTTCTTAAACTGAGATTTTTAAATAGATCCTATATGCCACTGGCCAGAAGTGACAACAGCTTCCTCATTCCTTCCCCCCATTTTACTCTCAGAGACACACACACACTATTTTCCCTTTCCCCAACCTTCTGTATTCTTTAGAACACTAGCCTTCTTTCCTACTGCCCTTGCCTCACTTCAACTCTGAAATAAAATGTTTTTCTATTAACATGTCTTCTTACCTTAAAGTTCTCTGGTTCTTTAGTAAGTTTTGCAAGCCTAGAAGGCCTTCTTTTCTCTCTGACCAGTTGGAGCTGGCACAGCGATTTAGGACTTCAGCCACATCTTCTGTCTGTCTCATATACGTTGGTATGCTTCCATTCCTTGAGCTATAGGACCTTTCTGAACAGGCACTTGATGCATCACTGTTGGCATCATCATCCGAGTACATCCCATAGGACTCGTATCTTCTTCGCACAGGCTTCTTCTATTGTTCAGAAACACCCCACGTTAGTACTGATTTTCAAAGAGATAATACACGTACCCATAAATCAGTAGAAGGACCACCGGTTCAAATAATCGGTGTGAGCCCTACTCCCTGCAGTGACAAACGGCTCCAACTGTTCTGCAGGTCAAACCGAGTTAATAAAAATATATTAAGGAAGTACAGCTTGCATAATATTCCAAATACAAAAGCAAAGCAAATGTAGAGAAGACATACGTTTGATGAAACGTTCAACTTAAGGTTTACTTGTAAAAATCTGTAAAATTGCATTATAGGGTGACAAAGACTATATTGAAAGTTAGTTATTTCACTTAACTTTATGTATGTTACAGAATATAAGAATCAGGTCTAAACCTACATATTCTGTCATTTTAATGTACTTTGCATCAAGCATGTTAATAGCAAAATATTAAAACTATTGAAGAAGGAAAATAGTTTCTATACCTTAGTCCGTATGTCTCCTAAGAGCTGTTAGCAGTAAATTATTGAAAAGAAACAGAAATTGAGAACAGGAAGGTAAGGCACAGCTGCATTGTGACTATTAAACTACCTGCCATTGGAAAACATACAGTCTTATTGTAAATTTTGTTCTTAGCTCTCCATATCTGATTAGCATGTCATGCATTGCCAAGAAGTAGTTTACTAAGCTCCCATTTCCAGGGAAATATTACAAATCATCTGCTGGGTGGTCAGAGAGACTTCTCTGCCAAAATCTTTGTGTCTTAATGCAGTGATATTTGAGCATGAAGACTTAATACATGCAGTCAGTTGCTATCTAAGCATGAAACCTTCATTTAAACTTTATTTTGTCATCAACTTCTCCATCTCTGTTTAACTTCATTTCAATATCTAAATTTTGTCATGGCAACAATTACAACAGCAGTTGATGTCCTACAAAAAAAAATAAATTAATGACATAATGCAAAATTCCAAATCGTTAAAAACAAAAACAAACCAACAAAACAAAACACAGCATGCCAAAGAAAGAAAAAGAAAAAAAAAAAAAAAGCTATTTATCCTGAAAGGAAAAACACACACCTCTGCAAAATAACTTTGCCATTCAAATTTTGGAGCTGAAGCTAGCAGTTAAAAATTTGTTTTCATTACATACTCAAAGAAGCAGTAGTGTAAATGATTGTTTCTCCCTTAATTACCATTACTATTTGCACAGGGTTCTCATTTTTGACTGGAGAATAACTTAAAGGGTATCGCAATACAAACTAGTCACATCACGTAACGAGCAAGATCATCGCCAAGAGAACAAGCATACATACACGTGTAAGAGAGTAAAGGGAGGGGAAAAAAAAATCACAAAGACATGAGCATTTTTGAAAAAGGTCACCATAAGTAAAAAAAAAAATAAAAATATGTTTTAAACAAACAGAATCTGAAGTGCCAAGGACTATGCTAAAGTAAAAGGTATAAAAATATGTAAATATCACCATATTACTGCATTTCATGTGTCTTATATTCAAACCAGATCTTATCCAGAAGGCTGATACCCCTCTGGCTTGAGCACTATTACAAGTGGACAAGTAGTTTTCATATCATAAAAACAGTAATACAGTCCAAAGTATTTTTGGGTTTTATATTGCATCTGTCAGGACTCTACATTCTACCTTTTAAAAACACTGTTCTGAGGGGGAACTTCAGTTCATGATAAAGCAAAAAGGGCGTTCATAACCAGATTTCCATCTAAATGGAGCCATTTGTACCTGTAGATTCAGAGCATGGCAGGCAACCAGACATGCAAATAATACAATAATAAAATTTTGCTGTTCTCGAGTCTTCTTTTAAATGACAGATTCTAGCTAAAATATACAAACAAATTTTCCTCGTTTTCTAGAAGCATCTTGCTATTTTGGGTAATACAAATCTGTTTCTATGAATAAATTTTATTACTTCAAGAAAGCAGGACACATTCAGTCCTCTAGAGCAGTCCTTGGAAGCATGAGTTTCTCCTCAATTTATAATCTTTACTACATATTTCTTTTGCCCAGCTAAATTTGAATAAGCTGTGAAGCTGCCAAAAGTACTAAAGATACTTTTCATGTAGCACCACTGTGGATAACTCTATAGTACAAGCTTTCAAATTATAGTGAGAAACTTTAAATACTCCACAGACTGTTTTTTTTTTTATTGTTTCCCTACTCCAAAATCCAGACTGACTCCCAGTTTACTAACTAGCGTTCCCCATCAACGCTGGAAAGCTTTTGCAAATTTACAAAATCAAAAAGGGGAAAAACCTCTGAAACTCACCATGACCTCTTAGGTAAGATGTCACAGATACCCTGATCTCTATGCCAGTGAAGCACACAAATTTTAAACTAATGGGGCAAGAAGACAGTATTAATCAAGAAATCAATAAATCGCCAGACTAAGAACATGGCAGAGTTCTTCAGATTTTTTTCCTTTGAAATTTTGTTTCTCTCTATCCAGTCATATCTGGCTATAATTAAATTTTTGGAGTCAAATCTTGGAGTCAAATTTTGGAGTCAAATTTACTAATGCTCCCAATAACCTTTTAGTTAAAACAGAGTAGTAATAAATTCCTTAAAGCAGTCTGACAACTAGGTAACAGGTACCTATAAATATTTAATAGTAAACAATACCTCATAAAAATGTATCTGACTCAAAGCATCAGTATTTTAAATCAATTGATCATTTCAGCTTGCTGATGTAAATGTCAGAAGAGCAAAATACATTCTGAGTTCAGTTTGGCTAACTGAGGCAGGGAGGTAGAGAAGCCAAACCCGCTCTTTTAAAGAACAGTAAAGGTTAAGAAAGAGAATGGTATAATCAGTTTTAAATTTGGAGTAACATTATGAAAACAAAAGAAGACAAAAACTAATGAAATGCTGCCTGCCAAGTCATCAGTTCATCTCCTCAGTATGAAACACAAAGACAGAACAACTTTAAATGGAACCCAAGGCTTATGATTAGCAGAGTGCTTTGCAGAGTGCTTTAGCTGCCATCATTCCCAACTCTGAGAAGCCTTCCACCTACCCCAAAGTTTGTCTGGCTGTTCTGGGAAACTGCTGGTTAGTGCTACCTGCTCAAGTGGCAACCTGGGCCACTCCAACAGAACAGTCCAAGACTATCTCCTGTCTGCCATGTAAAAATGTACATTTCTCAAAAGTTAAGACTTCTGTAGGGAACAAAAATTCCAATACTTTGCAGCTCTAGCAATTCACTTCCTCTTTTTTCCCCCACCTAGAAGCCAGTATAATAATGAATGACAAGTTCTTTTGCATACTTTAATGTATAAATACCAGAGATTTTAAGAGTCTGTATCCTACACAAGATAAGTGCAAGATTCTTACCAAAGCATCTGCTACTGCCTCTTCCACATCAGAACCTGTGTTGAGAACTCGCATAGCACTAACCGATGACGACAATCTACTCGACTGACTAATTCCAAAGCCGGTACCTGTTATAACAACAAAAATAAATACAAAGAATTCAGTCAGACTAGCAGTGCAGGACATTAATATCACACTCACTTGAAAAAAAACCCAAGCAGAAGAAAAGTATTCGCTTAGCATTTCTAATAAATTATGTAGTTGCTAAAATACTGGTTATTTCCATTCTTAAGTCATTAGTGGTCCAGCAAAAAGTAAGAAATTAAGTTTAAAAAAAAAATCATATACAAACATTCTATTCCAATATCACAGGGGAAAGAAACCCAGAAAACAATGGTTTTAACTGAAAGAACCTTTCCTTTTTTTTTTTAATGTCTTCTTCATTTTGGGTTTTTTGTTTTCATTTAAAAAGAAAGCAAATACAATAAAAAGGCTATTTAGAGGGCTGATTAGAAAACTACATGCATAAAGAATGCTCTACAAATACTGAAACATGGAAAAATAAAAAAAGTTCTGCAAATAAAAATAAAATGATTGTTGTTATGGAAGAAAAGGTTTAACACTGGAGGGTGGAGCTGGAGACGAAATCTAGCAACAAACACATCTATCTGGATTATTAAAACCACAAAACTTAAATTAATATAAATAATGCCTTTCAAAACTGAACAATGAGAATAACCAAGTGGGTGGGGAAAAAAAAAATCCAGGATGACTGCACAGATGACAGCAAAGTGTACTCATCCTTCACCTGTAGCCCCATAAACATCAGGAGTGTAGAGGGCACCAGTGGATCTGGAGTGATGTCTGGAAGCTGCAATAACAGGATCATATAAACCCTATCTATTACCATGGAATTAAAGTGCTGCAATAGTTGAGAGATGAACTAAAGAATATTTACCAGAAAGATTCAGCTTTAGCACAAGAAACTGAGTATTACACAGAAGGAAAAAGCTTCAGAGAAGTTCTTTTGACTACATAGAATATGATGATATAGAATTATATAGGTTTATGTACACTGGACATTTCATGCATAACTTAAAGGATTAAGAGCAGATTAAAAGCAAGCATATTTAAATTCAAAGAAGAAAAAATGCGTCGACACACATGCATGCGCACACACACAAACAGAATCTTCACAAATATCTGAAAAGTTCCACTGAAACTGGTCTTCTATGGTAGAGTTGATTCAATTCTACATGCTCGAGTTAGAGCTAGAGCTCACGTACCAAACGTTATCAGCACAAAGTGATTACTGCAAGAATCTACTGCGTTAGCAGCTGACAATTTGTATAGAGTTGAGTCCTTGCCTATGTGCAGATAAGTCAACATCTCAGTTAAAACTTACCATTATGTAGCTGAAAATTAAAATTATTCAGTTTTCATTAAAAGTTTGAAATAATTTAATGCAATTAATAGTTCACATTTGTATTGTTTTCTTTAAATAAATAAAATGTGAAATAGAAATATTTATGTTAGTTACTATAGCTCATTAAGATTCCTTAAAGTCATGCAAAGTGGGAACCAAAGATTCCTAAGGACTTTTGAACAGAACTGAGTACCCTCCTCCTTCTGACCCTTGTATAAAACTAGTCTTTTAGAGATTCTAAGGAAGTTGACTCACTATTGCTAACATTTTCTTTCTTAAACCAAGTAATTTCAAATTCAACGTGTTTTTAAACAATTAATCTTCTTTCTTCAGCTAGAATTTTACAGGCATGTAAATGAAACTGGTTTTGACAATTTTAACTTGAATTTATATGTCCATGAACAGTGACATAAACCCCAGATATTATCTTAGAATTCAAGAAGTAACTGTAAATACAAATATTTTACACCTTTTGGATACGTAAGATAGGAACAAAGAATCAAATGAATCATCCTTTACTCTGATTAACATAGACAATTTAAGAGTCTGATTTGAAACAAATGACACTGACACAGTTAGGGAAGCCACCTACTCCAAAATGGTCCTAAGTCCTGTAAAGGTCCCAAAACAACACTGTGGGTGGTTTTTTTTTTTTTTACATGTAAAGTTCTCTACTCCTCACATAAGGTACAGCAATGTGTTTCGCTTCAAACTAAACCTGCATGAAGTTGTTTAGCTAGGGAATTCTGCTTTGTGGAACATTTGCTTCTTCAGAAAGTATGTCTCCGCATGGAAAAGGAGAGAGGACAAAGGATGGCAAAACACAGGCATAAAGGCTGACAGAGCTTTAAGTACAACCATCAACAGGATAAAACTTCTCTATTGCTTGACATCAACAAGCCCTGAAAACTAAAGTTACAATGAAAAAATTCAAACTTCAGGCCGCCTGGACGCCTTTCTATGTGATCTCATTTAGGTTCCTGCTCTGGCAGGGGGATTGGACTGGATGATCTTTCGAGGTCCCTTCCAATCCCCAACATTCTGTGATTCTGTGATAAACAAACTTGATCCTGTTCCCAAATATGTTTGAAATATGCTGAAGTTTTTAAGACAGGGAAAGGAAGTACTATATTGCATCAAACATGACTCATTCCAAAGCATATTTTCAAATACATTCTTTGTACCCCTCAATTGCAGGAATTGTGCAAGCATTTAGCTTTCTTGTTTCATTTTTTTAAAAAGATTAATTATTTGAAAATTGATTCAACATAATTTCTTGGCTAAAATATGGAAATTACACTAGTCTGATATTTCATATTAACTGTATGTAACAGAAAATTAGGCACTTCCATACTAATTACAAATCACTTGCTTCTCATAGTGACTCTTATCTCCCAGTTTATAATCTTATACTGGGACGTGAGATTACATAAACACTTCATACCAATGTATACGGAGAAGAATTATGTGGCATTTGGGTCATTTTATGCCCCAAAGAGCTCAGCATTTGTAAGCTAAAATTTCTGTCCTGAGAATCAGATGGAATACAAATTACAGACCAGATGGAATACAAATTCCCCCCTTCAACCCTATGTCAAAATGTCTCTACCTACAAATAGAGCTGAATTTGCCTTTTTTAATCTTCTACTTGTACCCTTGTAAAATGTGGGTATTTTATAATATAACTAATAAATATAACTATTTTTGTTAGAAGTTAAGATAAAACTGGTCCAACAAAACACTGAATGACACTCAGAATCATTCAAATAAGAAGCCATACTAGAAGGAATCCTAAGAATCTTCATTTATTCCAGGTATAGCCTCCACACACACTTTTTTAAACAACACTGGATTCCTATACATGCTACCTTGCATGCTCTGTGCTATCAGACAATTCAACCTATTGTATTTGTGTAGGTACCTGTTTTGATACCTGAATACAAACAATAAATTCCATCAACAAAAATAAAACCTCAAGTAGCATCTGTCCCAATGACCCATCGCTGCATTAGTTTAATATGCAACTGTATTACTTTAATATGACCCACTGTATTAGTTTAATACAGATTTCTTAAGAAAAATAAGCATTTGACTAAATATAAAACGTAAATCAGATCTCACATGCACTTTAAGTCAAGCTGTAAGGTGGCAAAAGAGGTACAGAAAGATCTGAAAAAATACCCTTGTTTTCAAAAGAAAGAAGGGTGTGTGCTACACAGTCTGACAGATGTGTTTAGTAAAAGATATAAGTTTACTAAGGGGACCTGCATAATGTCTACTTTTAATTTAATTTAATTTCCCAATTAAATAACACCTGGATAAGTTAGCATTAGTTCATTCATTTAATCTGCATTTTCCCAATAAAACCATGGCTGACAGGAAGCAAATGGCCTTAAGAGACCACAACAGACTTCTAATGCTAATTAAGAGTACAGTCAGGTGCCTCAATTTGAGAGAGAAACCAGAGATTTACTATTTCCAGATTATGTTTAACAGCTAGTATTACAAAGTCCTGAACTTTAAGCTACACTTGAACAAACAAAAGAAGAGGAATACATACTGAAGACTAACTCAGACAAAGATAACACCAAGAAAGATCAGTTTCAGATACTACCTTACAGTTTTGGATCACCAAACAATCATCCCCTCCCCCCAACCATATAAAAAGTCTTATTAAAATTTACTACCAACTTCCTAGTACCCTTGACAAGGATACATGGAGATGAGAAACTTCCCTACTCCTTAACCAACAACACGTTAAAGTAAGTAGAAGCTAATTTTCCTATGCCTTCTTGAAATTTCAGAAACAGACAACACCATGACACAATCTTGTAAAATCTTTTAATCGTCAGGCCAATAAACTGAAATACTAAGTGGAAACAACACTTTTGCTTATACCAGCTCTAGGAGTAAGGACTGTACGTGGCTATGCATGTGTGAATGTTAAAGTTTTCAATTCCTCTCTTCTTCCCTACGTAACAACAGCTGCTACTTCCGTCACTGATCACTTGTTCTACGCAAATTAAAAATAAACCTCAGAACTGTCCTCTGGGTAAGGCCTTTGCTACGTGCCTTGTTTACGGTTAGAAAATGAAAAGCAATCCAGAATACAGTTCCCTTATCTGCCCCATCATATTTACTTGCTTTAATAGCAAAAAGGTTTTTATTATTTTTTCACATAATACAGTGATGACAGTATAGCTAAGGAGATAAAAAATTAAGTGTATTTTCTTCCTATACACCAAGATTATTCATGGATTAGGGAGCAATTTCAAATACTAGCAGATCCTAGCTGTTGATGCAGGGGAAGGCAGAGGATGAGAGCCACATGATATTCTTTGCTCTAGCTGGTCAGTGAGAAATGGACTATCTAACTGCACCCAAACAACGAGTGCCGTAATAAAGAGAAACACATAATTTCAAAAAACTTTAAAAAGTAGAATTGCCCTTTAAAAAAAAAAGTACCTAGGTGCTGCATATCACACACCTTCCCAGACTTGGCACTTCAGGTAAGATTAACACTAGCAAAGCGTTTATTTTTCAGCTGTGCAATCCATTCACACATTGGACGATTCTCCATGGAAGTAAGTGGTGAGTGAGCCAAAGGAAGGGAAAATAACGGTGGCCGGCTACAAGCTAAATGAAGGAGGCACGGATTCGTTAGGCGCAAATAATGAAGGGCAAAGACAGCCATGCACAACAAGGGACTCTGAGTACTTACCAAGGGGTGGAAAAGAGCGGACAGGGCTTGTGTCCCTGCTACTTTCACGGCTGGCCTCCCGACTGCACCCCTGACTCACACTAGGCCGAGGAATGCGGCTGCCTCGTGCTAGTATGATTCAGGGTACAGACAAACAGCAGCACAGAAGGGAGAAGACATAAGAAAAGTTGCAGTTTTAATGCAATTCTGATTTGCAGTAAGATCAAAGACCTATTTCTAAGAAAAGACACTGATGATTATGTTGGTTTTTAAGTCTTAACTGTTTCCACAAACTTTATTGATTGTGCTGGATTACACTAAGCGCAGTCAGTTCAATGAAATTATTTATTTGCACAGCTAAAAATGAGGATTTACCAAACTCTTTACAGAATGGCTGAAAAACCTCTTGAAAAAGACCAAAAGGAAACAAGCAATGAAAAATATGAACAGAGTATTGATTCAGAATTTGTGTTTAAGATGAAGTTAATCAACAGTAATGCAAATGAAAAAACTGTCAGCTTTCTAGAGAAGGAAAATATAAAGTTAACACAGCTACGGTAAAAATCAAAATACAAAGAACAGCAGCAATGCCATTAAAATCAATTGATATTTTCCAATAATATTGTTCATAATAAAGTGTAATCAGGTTATACTGTGAGCTTTAAGATGTATGACGTTCATTTTTCTATCACAGAAGTATACACATGCACGCACACATACACAGAAGACACACCAGTAAAAGAAAATAACCTATTCGAAATGGTATCACACTTTCATTCAATGGATGGGGTATTTTGGAGGTGGGGATAAGAGGTGAAGAAAAGTGAAAGAGAAGGAAGGAGGTGAGAAAAAGAACAACTACTGCATTCTGACAGCAAAAAATTAAAGTCTCAGTTTAAATTTAAAACTGTCTCATATATGAAAGACTAGCCTCAGAAAACAGGCACATTTTAGATTTCCATTGATATGTATCCTAATTTTATCATCCACCTATAAATAAATGCAAGCAGTAGATATCCACCACTTAAAGTAAGAAGGGCTATAAAGAAACCAAGAGTTATTCAGTGATTCTTACCTACTGACAATCTAGAAGGACTGGCTTCTCTGCTGCATCCCTGACTTCGTGGGATTTTGCTTCGTTTTTGTGCAGTTGCAGGATTCACTAACACTCTCTGAACTCCTGTGTTCATGGTGGAAAGTGTGGTTGTTGTCAAAACTCTTCCAGGAGATCCAGATCTACTGCCAGCTGAAGGCAAAATGGAGAAATATAATCAACAGCATAGAAGATAAATAATCATGGTTAAAAAGAAAAAAGGGCTTAAAGTTAGTAGGAAGGTGGTGGTAGATTGAAATGGTCTGGAAAAAGCTTACAAATAGAAATAGAAAACCCTGGACCGAGTTCTTATAGCACTACATACAAGGTAGATAAAACTGTCAATGCAAGGAAGCACTTGGCATGATATTTAGCACTAGATACACTCAAGGAACCATAAATAATGTTCCTAGTCTTCATCAACAGTTCCAAAGTCCCTAATATGAACACTGGTGTGCTCATTTTTTAAGCCACATGGTTTTACTATTCACATTTTTTTACAAAAAAGAAAAGAACTGCTAGAAAGCTACAGGGAGCAACTAAAACCAAGTGATTTCATAATTGTCCCAGCTCTTCCAATGCAAGCAATATTATAATAAAATAACACAATTTTCCTAACATTTAAACTCTTCTCCCTTGCTTATAAAAAGCATGTGGTCTTGAAGCACTGCTCTCTGAGAAGTTAAATAAAATAGCACTGAAGACAATTAAAATATTCATTTCTGTGGAGGCTACCCCACAAATTTGAAGAAAATCTTCAATTAGCTAAAGAATTGATCAAGAAGTAAATAAGAATAAGTAAATTCTGTATTTTTATTGATCAAAACTGTACATTACAAAGTTCTAGAACTGTTCAACACACTGTACCCGCTACCAGGAACTGGTCACTGATCCCTAATTTTGATATTTCAGTTAGAGAAAATTCAAGTCCTAAACCATAACAAGGAATCCATTCTTCTCTAGTTATAACCAATTTATACCACCAGTTGATACAAATATATTGTCTCCAGCTGCAGAATTCAAGAAGTCAGACCAAATAAAAAGCAAAACATAATCTTAACCAAAGGTTAATAACAGAGATATGAATGTTTCATTAATCTTTTAAAAATAATCAGGTAACTGTATGACCACAGCTATGCTATCAGATCTACAGACTTAACATGCAACATTTCAAGCGAGTTTCATGGGTTACTTATGAGGCAAATTTAAAAAAAAAAAAGGAGATACAAGTTGATTAAAGCTTGACCATGTGGGAGAAGAAACAAAATCCCAAACCAAATAAAACATATGCCGGGTGGAAAGGAGAAAACTGAAACAATGTACCATGCATATACTTTCAGATTCATTGTTTGAATTCAAACTTGAAATGATTATTTATCAAAATCCCTTTTCCAAACTATGGACCTATTCAAAAGTATTATACAGCCTGGCAGCAACAAGCATAACTTCTACAGTTAAAAAAGAATAGATAAATCTAGAAAAATACTGAGGTGTGCAAAATTTAAGGGTTTGGCAGTTTCTTCATATCAGGGCATTTCAGCTTAGACCTGATAGTACTACACCTTCTTCCTAGCCGCCAATATTTGATATCATTTTATTTTATATCTCTTTAAAGCAATGAAAATATTGTAAAAGTCTTAAATGGGCCAGACTTTAAGATTTTTCATTAATAGGTCAGACACCTGAAAAAACTTACTCTTAAAAAAAACCCTTACTTATACAGTAAGAAATGCAACTTCTTATTCTAATACGTTACTTATCTTTCTACTGTCTGACCTGCAAAGTGTACCACTACAGCATAAATAAACCAAATGAAACTTAATATCCTGAAAATGTTACGCTGATAACAGCACTGGCATACTGTTGTCAGTATACTACCATCAGTGGTAGATCTAAGTGAACTGAATGATGAAAGAAGGATTACTAAAACAGTACAAAAACCCTCCCATCTCTACTGCCTTCTAAATAAGCATTACATCCGATTAGGTTAGTACAGCACACGTTAAAAAGCAAGCCATAATTTCTGCTGAATAGGGTCCTTAAATGAGATATGTCAAACAGGTGATCAAACAATGACGTATACACAAATTCTGTAGACTCTTACCACCAATGGGGTTAGCAGACTGTGATCCTGAACAAGTGTAAAGGCAGGATTAGGGTAGGGGTTTACAATCCATGAAGAGGGAGGGAGCAGAGCAGATTAAAAAATGGATGGCAAATGGAAATAAGAAAGCTTTAGTCATTTCACACAGGAAAAAAAAGCCACAAGGGGGTTATGCTAAAGCAGTGCTTTTAAGTAGCTTCCACATTTGAAGAATTAAACTCAAATGCTATGCACAAAGCAGATGAAGCAAAGCTGCACAAGCAAATTACAATTCTTCAGCTTTCTAATCAACAACTGGATAATACTGAAGAATTACATTTCAATTAAACATGAAACTGTAGCCTTTGTATTACTTTAAAATAATACTACATTGCCAAAAAGGTTCAAGAAGTTCAACAGCTGAACAAAAATTACACACAAGGCCAAAACTTTTATATATTTTTTTTTGACAGACAGTAATGGAACTGAGCTGCAGGTGTGGTGGATGACAAAAAAAAAACCTCACAATGGCACAACTGAAAAGACTTGCATAGAATTTCCGTTTTTTCTCTTTTAAAATTAATCTGGAATATAAAAGTATTTGTTTCCATTCAGAAATTTAATTATTTTTCTCTGAATTAAGACTGTAATTTAATTTTAGCATACCTTGTTGAATTAATCTGACAACCAAACAGGGAGAGGAAAAAAACCTGAATTTTTTTCCATAGATAAGAACAAAATAATGAGCTATAGATTGTATATGCATTTATTTTATGTTACAATTTAAAAATAGAAGAGGAATAGTAAAGGGTTTGTAAAACCCTTAAAAAATATCTTTTGTAAAAGCATTCAAATTTGCAAGTCTTTCATAAAATGATCTTTGAACAAAAGTGCTATAAAGTTGTAACCTTAAATTTACAAAAGCTGTTACAGTGGTTTTTAAAAGATAAAATCTTAAATCCAATATGAAACTATTCTCCCACTATAACACTGGGGAACTAAAACAATCCCCTGTATGGAAACATCAAGCATCTCGCACCCCACAATGCTGTGAAGATTTTCACTCACACAAAGAAGCATCACCCAAACAGCTGGCACACAGTGCCTGACAATTCTCCTTCGCCTGCTCATTTGTACTTGCCCTGTTTATCTTCCTTAAAACATCTCAGAATTCTTGTTCTCCCCCACTGACAGGTTGTAATGAACTACCTGAAGCCATCAGTTCTGAACAGAAGTAGTCATTAAAGGCTGTAAAGATGCATTCATGCATTTAATTTTCACACATCATCACATGTAGACTAATCTAGTTAATCTCAGTATCAATTCAACTTATCTCTTTAGATATTAATATTGTGCAAAAATGAATTCTCATGGAAAAAAAACTGTCATTATTAAGAAAAAAACTGAAAAGGCTTCAGTTTGTTTCCCTGAATATAAAGGCGGTTTCATTAATATTATATGACAATGATAATCACAAAAGTCTTATATTGCCACCTAAATTTAACCCCTCCCCCAAAGAGTTTCTCAAACAACTTAACTTTTTAAGAATTTCTCAAATCTACTCCAAGCAGAAAGGTATTTTCAAAAAGCTTATTTCAGAACTTTCCTAATACTAATGAAAAGAGTGTTACAGATACTGCTTACAGCTTTTCATGAAGGGAAAAAGTGATCTGACAGGACTGTCACCTCCCCTCTCCATTAAATTTTTAATCCAAATATTAGGTTATGATATAGTGTAGTCACCTTAACGCTGAAAACATAAAACAAATTTTGCACAACCTTTAGCAGGGCCAATAACTAGACTTCATTTTCAAGCTCTTACCCCACAAGTGCTTGTGGGATGAGAGCACTATCAAAGAAAAAAAAATACTTAAGAACTTCTGCTATTGGATTTTAATATTTTATATTTATCTGTTCAGATTTTTTGAAAGTTTTATTTCACAAAACCTGCAAGCATTGGATCAGGTTTGATCCAATTGTATTTGCTGGAAAATGAAGTAATGCAAAACTGAATGGGAAGTATTCCAACAGGAACAAAAAGCCCAAAAACTTTTCTACCTGCTTTTTAAGTCTAAAGTCATTCTATTTATGAGAAATGCAGGCACGGCTATGAAGAGAAATGTTTCTGCCACTAAACACAGAATTAATTGGCTTTAGTAAAAGAAAGTGGATATGGTTACTGATAGCTAAATAATCGTACTGGAAAATTCAAAACCTCTATTATTTATTGTGTTTATAACATTAGACTTGACAAACTATAGGATTGGTTAGTTTATTTTAATTTTATCGTTAATTTGCCTTCCTTTCATTAATTACATTGCATTTCACTTAATTAGACAAAGATGAGAAAGTGAAAACACTACAGAGCTTAGTCAGAAGATGTCTGTTGGAGACATCAGACCTGTGAACAAATTGCTGTAGGTCAGCCAGTGCCAAAGAACGCGAGGTAATCAGGTCTTTTGAATTAAAGACAGAGTGCTCAGCTAGCTCAGAAATTCTGCATTTGCTTTGGTTTCTAAACACACACAGAAAATTACCGTGGATTAGCTGACATACAGTAAATTGTTTGTTTTAACCCTTATGGTTCAATATAAGCGAAGTAACTGGTTATAGAGTTTAGTGTTTTTACTCTGAAGATGAGTTAAGTAAAAGTAACAGTTATAATATTTAAAAAAAAGAGTATAAATCCAAGAGCTAGAGTAGTGCCTAGTTTAAAATGAAAACAGGTATTTCTGGCTGAAAAATAAGACTTTTTGAAAAATGAAAAATTAGGTTCTGCAGATAACACTGAGGACACCATTCAACCTACCTATTCTTCCTGTATTACTTGTCTATGTGTCACATGTAACTGACACAGAAATTTACTGTTGTTTCATGTTGGAGAGGTCAGAAAGGGGGGAAAAGAATGTTGAGAAGTTATAATTGAAGACAGAATTTAAGAGTAGATTTCATTTCCTGATTTAATTGGCAAACTAAGATCTAACCTAGTATTTTGTCCAGAAAAACAACATGAATTAGAAAAGCATGCAAATACCACTGACCCAAAACACTGAAAAAAATACCTTCATTTTTGTCTGGCGATGATGAACCTAAGGCACAGAACAACAACTCAGTATGTAGCTTTTTTTTAAAAAATTAACTTTGACTGTAGCCATTGGTCAATGAATATATGCTTAAGCATTTGGCCTCTTTATCAGGAATAACTGACAAAACAGAAAATACATACGCTGAGACTGTGACACCACTTTGGTTCTACTCCGTCCTCTGGAATCTGTTTTAGAATTTCCAATACCAACAGAAGGCGTTGAAAGCTTTGTTCGTACACGACCTATAAAAGAAAAATGGTATTAAATCAGTTTTTCACAGTAATGTAGCAAGCAAAGCATCAGTAGCATTTACTAGTGTTTTCTTAAGTTACTGTAGATAAAAAAAAAGAAGCATAACGTAACTCAATTTGTGAAAATTTGCTTGGGATAATTAGTAGAAATTTGAACACCTTAAAGCACTTAATAGCTGGGGAATCAAAATACTTCTCCTCCGATGCTACATATTTCAGTAAACAATTTACACATTATCATTTAAACACCCTGAACTAGCTAGCTAGTTCTTGCTTCCTACATAAATAGGTTCATTAAATTTTAAAAATGGAAGTTTATTAAATAGAATAGGCAATGCATACATTAATGGTGCTGTATCAGACACACTCTTCTCATGACTACTTGTTGTAATTCTACTTTTGCTGTCATAAAACTACAAAAATTATGTTGACTATTTTTTGAATGGGGTTCTGAGGTTTCTTCCTAACTTCACTTCCCTTTTTAGAAATCTAAATCCTAGCTTTCCTATTAGTGAAGATTCTACTGTTTTCCTGGCCACAGTCATAAAGACTTCTAACAGGATTTCCCAAGCCTTTTACAGCATTTTACAAAGACCAGGCACACTGAAGTGCTTCTCAGTGACAACATGATATAAGGAAATACCACTCTCCTCAACAGATCGAAAAACTGAAGAAGAGAAAAATTAACTGAGTACCTACAACTAAACCAGAGTCCTTTCTCTTTAGGATGCCAAACCATCTTGGTTTTGGGTTAAACCTTTCTGCATTATTAGCCATGTTCCTCATAACATCCAGAGTATAGAATGGAATTACAGAAGAAAGGAAGACCCCAGTTGGATGAATTATAGGTAACTGAAAGGTTATTTATAAAAGGAAATACAAGAGTTGTGCACTACATTTCCTAAGCCAACCTCTCAAACAACAGGAAAATGAAACAACAACCAAAACCAAGCTAACCATAATTCTTTTAAGTTGGAAGAACAAAACCCAAAAAGTTTGTACAGAGTGGATCTAGCTCAACAAGTAATCTACTTTTAAAAACCACTTCATTAAAATATTTTCTAGACACATAGAGTCAATATTTGACCCAGAAGAATTAGGTACACAGACTGTTATTTAGTTCTAGCCTCTTTAGGCTTTCCACAGCAGAATTTGGAGACCAACCAAGTTAATATTATTCATCCAAGTAGAGGGAATAGCCATAGATGAGTCTATAAGAAGAGAATCAGGATAAAGGAGGTTATTCACTAAACTATTAGAAAACAATATGCTAGCAAGAACGGTTAGATTAACTAGTCCAAACTCTACTAGTTATCCCCGTGCAATGGCAATGTTTTCCCACTGAGTGCTGTGAGACTGCAAGGCATGTAACTGCATTCAGAATTTGGCCCAAAAACCTCGGAATACAGAGTGCCACTATTTTGATACTATGTTAAATTATCACTTGGAACCTCATTCAATTTTATCAAAGTAAAAAAAAAACAGTTTGTATTTGTGAGGCAAATGAACTCACTTGGAGTCTCTACATCCATTCACTAACGACAGGTTTAAATGTTAATAGCGCATTGAAAATTAATTCCCGCGTCTCAAAGAGATGAGCAATAGTAGCACCTGCTTCCCAGAGCATGAACACCTTTGATGAAGTATTCTGTGACAAGATTTGCTTCAAAAAACAAACGCAAAATTATAGAGCTCCCATATTTTCACACTAAAAATGTTAAGCAATGACACTTCTACTGCAGATGAGTACTTGAGAATTAAAATAAAAGCAAAAGAATTTTAAGAATACTATATGACAACCAAGTATTAGATGCATAACCTATCTGGAGTTATGAACCTCCACAAAGCCCCAGAAAGATCATATTCTACTTTTAAAGCTTAATTTAAAGCAATGAAAATATGAAGCTGAAAATTTTAGCTGTTCTAACAAAATGTTTTCTTACCATCTTCAGAAGCTGTTCCTAAACAGAAAAAATAATAAAATACATGATATTCCAAACAATACTGTGTCTCTCCAATTCCTTTTTGAGATTAATCTTATAAATGTTGACACATTTTATCAAGTCAAGACGTCTAAAGCTTTTATGTTCCAACTCCATTATTGAACTGAAGCAAAATTATCAAGAAACATCCATACTATCCTGTTAACCACTTACAAGAACACAAGATATAGCACTGCCTTCCAAACTTGTTATAAAACCACAAAAAAAATCAATAGGGAAAAAAAAAATCTATAAGTCAACAAAATGACATGTACAGATCAAAACAGACATTAAAAATAATTCATTGCAAGCCCTTCTGAAAATATAAAACATACTGTTAGAAATTATCTCAGAGAAAGACACAAGGACAGTGTTTCCCACACTGGACAGTGATAATTTGATAGGAACTGCCAGCAGGGAGGATTTATCTGAATTAAATCCATGATTACTCTGAAGATCTACATGCACAAGATCAAGTTTTGCTTAGAGAAGTGGAAGTAATATGAATTTGCTGAAACCAGATCACACTTGAACAAGTGTGTCAAGCTTCACAAGGCTTCATGATGACAAAATGAGAGTCTGACAAATCTTTTTACTGACATCAGTACCTAGGAAGTGACGGGAAGCTATTTAAACAGCAGTCTCTCTAAGTTCCCCTGAAACAAATCTGCTTATGGAATAAAAGATGTATTAGTAGTGATAAAAATGTTAAATGCCTCAAAAAAAAAAAAAGCAAAGGGTATTTCCATTTTTGTTTTCACTCTCTACCGTTTCTGTCTTGTAAGAGAACAACAATGATTAAAATGTCTGTTAGTGTCTTTGGCTAGCCTGAACTTAACTTTCTCAGCAAGTCTGGCTTTGGCTTTCTCATATTATACTATATTCAAGGCACTATGTTTAAAACTCCCTCTAAAAATTAATTCAGTGCAAATTTAAGTGCTTTCTCACAAAAATCAGTTACAGTAATATGTATGTAGGAATGCCTCAGAGTTTTCCTGATCAAGTTTGCCAGTCCGTACAAAAAAAACCTACCCAAACCCTAAACTACCCTCCCAAATCCAACATTCTTCCATAGCTGCATCTTGGAAGGCAGGTTCCATGCAACATCTAAGCCAGGCTAACAGCCAGCTGCTCCTAAAAGGGGTGCTTCTGCTTCTCCTTCCTCTCTACTTTTGTGCTACCACCTGGTTTGAATGGCTAAAGGCTCACTGGCAGTTTCAAAAGCTAAATAACACAATGCTATTTTGTCTTATGAAATCAGTCTCCTGGAGATTGTTCACCTACAGAGTATTAAAAGATACTGGTGAAAGAAGTTATAAAAACACGTGACCAAGATTAGTGGGAAAGGAAAACTGATTAGTTCCTCCTGGTGGTGGTTAGATCAGAGCAGCTAGATCACACAACTGCAGCTGGAGAACTAAGCTGTGTTGATTCTGTCTTGCACATCATCCCTACAGATACCCTCTAGGAAAAAAAAAAAAACCCACCCTGTTAATCCCATCAATTAACTGTGTAGCACTTACCCTACTATTTTTAAACAGACATCACTAGTTTTAACTAAAAAGAAAAAAAAAAGCCTGTACACATGGCCCTAAGAACCTTTATTGCTGCCGACTGTATGCAAAAGCTCAAGATTAAGTATTTAGCACAGATAGTTATAAATAAATCCTATTATATGCAACATGAGGAAATCTGATCTGGAAATAAGTGAGACAGACAGTACTATCCTGTACAAGCCCCTCTCACTTTATTTAAGCAGGCTTGCCATCTGCAATACTCAAAAATGGCTCAAATTCTTCATGCAACTGATTATCTGTGCTTTAAAATTATTCAGGATTCTGGCTTTGAGAGTTCTGCCATCTTACTGTTTTCGTTTCTATGAAAGGTATCACCTGCTTTGCTTCCAGCAAACTACTTGTTTCTTTGTACTGTTAATAAACATGTGACAAGAATCACTAAGTAAGTACCAAACCTAACTGACTTGTTAAGTGCTCCCCAGCAATAAATCAGAACTAGAATTATCAGGCATCACACTGCGACTCTGTCACTTTATTATATGGGAAGTATTATTTACACACTCCTGAAACAGACAACTGTTATGAGAAGCCTAATTCTCAACTGCTTTGCAGTTAGGATAAAAATACATTACAACTCCCTCCATGTGTTTAATACAGTGAATTAAGAAAAAGTAAGCACTAAAACTTAGCTGGAATACTTGGAAACCTATTTTAATGGGCAGGTCTGCTTAAGAAACTATTCTTTAATAGAACTACATTGTATTACAGGATTTACAGGTGCTTAAAATTCCATAGCTAGACTAGATTTTGAAGGAGAACTTTTGAAAGAGATTATTTTACTTTTATTTTTTTATAAATCCTTAATTATGTGGTCAAGCATCATCTGCTCTCCCTTTGCTGTTCTGCCACAAAGTAAAAAAATTTGACTTTACACGTAAAACTATGAAACATGGTGGAACCAGAGCTGGTTAAAAGAAAACCATGTATTTCTTACAGAATTGCTCTGTAATTAATTGAGCTTTTTTAAAGAAATAGGAGTAACATCCAATTTCTGATTAAGTTCCTGTTGCTGATAGAGATCAATCATCAAAAACATTGACAAATACAGCAATAACAACACATATTAAGACATCAAGATTACATAGGGGTTAATGTAAACAGCATAGTATTTTGTTAACGAACAGACAAATATATTAAACATCGATAATTTTACATAAAAGATGTTTTATTAAATATTTAATAGAATTAGATGACAGACTAAACAATTTCTTACCATCCATCTTGTCAGAAGTATCCTCTTTGTTGAAAAAGCAGGCAAAGAAACATGGAAAACTTAGTGTGTTAGAATAAAAGAGTTCACAGCAGAGTCATAAAACATTAATTAAGGAAAATACATTAATATTAAATACAGCAGACATGTTTATCTAATCCATGCATGTACAAGTTACCTTAAGTAAAGATGGTTTCTCTCAGGCTAAGGTACAAAATTACAGCACGGGGTACAAGTACCCTGTATAGGGATGCTGAATCTTTCCATATTACCCAGATTTAAGCAAACCCTTACAGTAAAATATTTATAAACTGTTTCATCAACAGTTACTAAAGCATCAGTACATATTTATATCATTACTGAACCACAATATTTCCATTTCTTAGGAAATTTGCTACTCAGCATGAAGGCCCATCTAGGGTAAGGGACAGGAGGGAAAAAGACATCACAATAAAGACAGAGGACAAACGGGAGGAAGTTCCACTCTGGTTTAAAAGCATTAAAGATTTACAGTTCAGCTGGAAGGTAGTGCATACATATTCTGGTAGTAACAATCCAAATTAAAATATTTAGTGAGAGACATATATAATTACAGCTCCAGTCTCCTCAAAAAGGACATTAATACTTAAAGATGTCAAAGACGGTCAACATTTCGAATAACTAGAGAATGTCCTCCTGCTTCTAGAACAGTCTTTTAAAAAATCATAAATAAGCAAGAGTTCTATTAATAATAAAAAGGGAAGAGATGGGCAGAGACAATTATAGACTATTAAGCTCATGAACTCTGAGGCTCTAAATTTGGCAGCTGCTTAAGCAAAAGGTGAGTGTTTCTCTGTAAGTAAGGGTGAAAATAAGTTCCAGCTCCAGGAGACGAAGTTATTTATTTTGGTATTGATTGCAACACCTGAGAAGGTGTGGAAAATGTTACGGAAATAGGGTAACATTTTCTAGGCATTTTAGTCCCCCGGTCAGTATTATCTTGACAATTCTGTCATTTAAGTTGAATATTTGGATATAGGATAAACAACCCCCTTAAAATGAACAGAGGGGCGACGTTACAAATGAGCCTATTTTCTGAGATGCAGCACTTCCTTGGATTCACACCCCATTCATTTTAAGATTAGCTTTTGAAAACTAAGAGTGAATAATATTTTGAGGTGGATTCCATTGCTAATCCGTAGCCAAGCACACACAGTCTCACTCTCTACATAGGTAAGAGGGGACAGGTATGTGTCATGTAGATTACCTTACCACTATTAAAAAACTGCTAGGAGAATGATCCAAGAGCAGTCAAGCAGTGCTGCTTTTGTGTGACTTGTAAATGAACCCTGGTCACCTTGACTATCACAGCCCTTATACCATCTGTAAGAGGATTTGACTTTACTATACATTGCTAGTATCACATTATTTTTCCATCTCAAACCACCATTGTGTTCTTCTCCACGAGTGGATGCATCTGCTAGCATGGCAAAGCTTTCTAGCTACTCAAATCCTTCAAGAGAAGGTGACCCGGACTTACTGCCCATTTATTCCTCTCCCCCACCCTCTCTCACCAAATCTATAAACTACAAAAAGAATAAGTTATTTCTTTATTTCTGTTATTTTCCTGCATAAATCTACCACTATTTACTTCCTTGAAAGCCTCCGTGCCCTTCTCAACTCTTGCTACAAAATTCTGTGTATGAATCACATATTGCTTAAAACGTTCTGAAAACAAACCAATACGCCAATCAAGAGCTGATTTTCTGTGAAACATTTCAGACCAAAGTAGTCCCTTCATTTCAGCAGCACGAAGAAGACAGATTAACACAGAGAGATTCCTCTTTGTTTTCCATTTGACATTTTTTCCCCTCTGTCACCATGTTCTGCCTCACTTTTACTTCTAACAACAGCTGAACTTCAGCGTTTGTCTGCAATTCAGAATATGTCTTGTTGCACACCAAGACAGACCAGGCAATACTCTGATCTTAGAGAATAATCATCCCACCTATTTCAGGCTTTTAGGCACTAAGTTAGGAAGAACTGAGAATTCCTCAAGCGATAACCACAAGCATATCTCCTCCCCCAAGCAAACAGCAGCCTGACTTTGGTGTCCAGCTGCTACCCAGCAGGTTCTCTGACTCCTTCCCTGTTGGCACTAGAGGGAGCACACACCCCAAATCACTATTTCAAGCAGCAAGTATTCCTTTTAGTCAGCATTGCTCACGCTCATGAACTTCATCCTAAAATCAGTGGTGTTCAAACCATTTCAAGTAGGCCCTGATGACCAAAGAATCAACTCATTTAAAATCGTTTTTAACTTAAATTTTAATTTTAAAAAGCACAACCAAAAACTTGGAAAACCATAGCCTAAGTGTATCCTAACATCTCCCCAAACACAAGGTATATCAGAACTATACGGTTTCTCTGCCTCTCTTGTGATCATCTTTGGCACCACTGACATTAGGACATATCTTCTTGATGGTTGAGCTGGCACACAAGCTGAGAAGAAAAAACTAACAGTTTTGCAAACACTGAAGCTCACTTTCCCTGTTGCTACCCCTATAGGATGGATAATCTAAAAAGAAAAAAAACATGACCACATTCCTTCACACCCCGTCCTTACTGGTTTAATTTAGAATTAGAGGAGGTTCTAGCATCTAGCAGAACCACCACTATCAAATACCTTCCTGCAGTCTTATAATTTGTAGCACTTGCTATGCCTAACAGTAAGTATTCCTACCAATGAAGACTGTCATCTAGATAAAAACATACACTTAGTTCCATCAACACGCTTAGGAAGAAACCTATGAAATCAATGATGTATATTACTGTGTAAAAAAAACTTCTGAATTACGTGAAGAAGCCTTCACTTACTGCCAGGATGTCTCTTTAGCATTGTTGTAAAATAGACAGCTAAAGAGCTGAGAAGTAAAGTTCAGATACCTAACACTCATTTCCCTGGTACTTCTAGAAACAAAAACCCATGATCACCATCTGCTGTTAAGTGAAGGTATCACTCCTTCCAGTACTTAAATACTAATTCCAGACTAACACATTTAAAGAGCACAGCATGGATACACTCTTTGCATTGTCATTCTTACAGCACAAGATCTAGCAAAACTGGTAACTTACTTTAGAACACCTGCTGTTTTGCAATACTCCAATACGACTAAAAACGATGACAATTTTTCAAACGCAGAAGGGCAGCTACCCTTAATTTTTTGATCAAAAACCTCAAAAAATATTTCCCAGTATTGTAAAGATGTTTCCCTTACCTAGTGAAGCGTAAGATCCAGGAGGCAGACCAGCTGCTGACAAGCGTCCAGCTCCAGCTGTCTGTCCAGCAGCATGGCGGGCCTTTGCACCTGCGGCAGCGTTAACGTCGATGTCACTGCGAGACCTCTGAAGAGTTCCTGGGCTTGGAACACTCTTGCTGCTGCCTGAAACTAGCAGGAAAAGAAAAATTAGTAAATTGGTCAATAATTCATAAAATTTATTCTATTTAAAAGGTCAACATTTTCTACTACTGCAGCATACCTGCAAAAAGTACATTGCGGAAATCAGTGTAAAATAGGGTAAATCAAATTAATTTAAATAAAGTATTACTGAGGTTAAGAAGCAAACTAGACCTGGCATTGCCATGAAAGTCAGATAAAGAACAGTTTATTTTACAGTATTTATCTTCATTCAGTATGAAATTTTAGCATTATTTAATATAATGTGCTCCTACCCTAGTACAAATTACATAATTCTGAACATCTATGTGATTTATTACATTATTGAATGAATGTTTCACAAATCTAAGGAAATTCACAGCACCCCTTGTGATACTGAGGGGAGATAATATTCCCACACTGCTGCTAAGATAATGCCACAGGCAAGCTGAATGCATACCCTGAATTGTTTTAGGGTCTAATCATCTGTAAAGTATTTTTTATATTAACCTCCTATTATTCTCTGAATATTAACTATTCACTTCAGTTAATTTTAACCATTGGTTTATGTTTTCAAAACTTAACTCCCTCTTAACAGCTTCAGTATCCAGAAAACAAGCACTGCCAGTTACTGGCCATTTGTAAAAAGGGGTTCAATGATTTACTCTGCAAGAGTTACAAACACATAACGTGAAAAGAGAACAAAGATACTAAATTCTGAAAACCCAAGACAAAATTAAACTCTTTGAACTTCAAATCTGTGGTTTGGGGTTTTGTTTTATATGAAGAACAGGAGCTACATGGGAATAGATGAAAGGTATGAGTCCTTCATTTCCAATTGCCATTAGCCTAATAATAATGAATAGACCACAGAATAATGTTTTGCTTCTTCTAGTGACTGTTCCATGACAAAACTCCAAGACAGACGATCTATTAATAGTACCAATGTATCACAAATTATGTCTTCTACTGGCAATATCTGACAAAACATAAAATGTAAAGCAACTACGAAGAAATCTGAGCTCCAGGTACAATTTATAGTGACACATACCATTATTCAACTTGGAAACAGGGTAAATGCTTAAGACAGCAAGACTTTAAGCTGCATTTAAAACTTTTAATTCAAAGAACACACAGCACAACTATAGTGTGCCGCACTATATAGCTACCTTACCTCTGCCTGCAAGGCTTGATGCGCTGGCTGCAGACCACTTAGAAGACAGAGGCCGACTGAAAAATAAGAAGTTGATAAACCCAATAAGTAAGTCTTATGTATCAATATACAAGGTAACAACAACAGTGGGGGGGAACCAACAAAACCAAAAACGAAGTGTTAGCAATAGCATACATTACAGACAATTATTTTTAAAATGTTTTTTTTT